GCAGCTCCTCCGACAGCCTGACATCTGCTCCTTCCTTGGTCCCGGTCCCCTCCAGCCACGCTCTCTGTTGCCAGCCCAGAGAGTTACAGTGAACCATTGGCAGCAGGCCTGCCGACTTGGCCTCCAGCTGCCAAGGAAATGTGACACACAGAGCCAGGGCCCCAAACACTTGCCTGGGACGCAGCCACATCTGGAGGCCGGAGACAGACTTTTCCAGACACTTGGCCACACGCTTCTCAGCTCAACCAGGTGTCTCCCTTAACATTGGATAAGGAAAGAAACAGCCTCCAGGTTTCCATGGGAAAAGACTGGGAGAGTTGATCCACGTCCTGGAGGCCGCTGTGTGGAGAGTGCTGTGGCGCTTGTGAAGTCTTCCCCTGTGCCCCTAGCAGGGCTGCCAGGCGCTGAGTCCAGTCGGCTCTGCTGCTCAGCATAGCTGTGGCCCAGGGCGTGCGAGGCCACAGATATGGCACTTCAGGCATGTCCGGGTCAAATACCTGCTGTTTCAGATGAGGATGCCCCAGTTTGTGTCGAGAAGAAAGGCCTTTCTGTAGGTTTGCTAGAACACAGGTTAGAGCCTAACGCTTGCCTCTTCACTGCATAGCGTTTCTGCGTGTGGATTTCTTCAGAGGTCTGTGGTGTTTCAGGGGTAGGATTCTTGCTTTCCATGTGGAGACTTGGGTTTGATTCCTGGTCGGTGCACTTCATGCATACCCACCACCCATCTGTCAGTGGAGGTGTGTGTGCTGCTATGAAGTTAAGCAAGTTTTTTGTGGCGCTTTTGGCTAAGACAGAGTAAGAAGAAAAGCTTGCCTGTTTGCTTCCAAAGATCAGCCAATGAAACTCTATCGCGCATCATGGTCTAACCTGCTGTTGATCCCCAGGATGGTGCTCGAACAGGCATTGTACCTGGGGTCACCATGTCTTAGGGACCAGCGCAAGGGCAGCTAGCAACAACAAGCCCCAAGGGAATTGAATGACTGAGCTTTAGGGTTGATCTATATGGAATGCATGTGATTCTGAAATGTTAGACCAGCAAGGTGGAAACTAGAGATTCTGAGAAGCCAGTCTCTCCCTCTTGCTTCATTTCTCCCGAGGCTTGCATCATTCCGTATGTGTCCTTCACATTCTGATGTGGCTTTCACTCCTGTTATGAGTTCCTGGGAATCACTTTATCAATTTATTTCAGAACACGTAAAATAGTCCTTATGTGTCTGTGGTGTTTGACTGCTGTAAATGGCAGGCCCTGGGTAGTTAGGTTATGCTGTGAAACACTGTACAACTTGAATTCTCTCTCTCAAAGCCTAATGTTTTTATTCTCCTCACTGTCCATGTTTTAAAAATTCATGAACTGAGGTTTTCCAGTTTGGGTCCAACCCTAATAGTGAATATTTGGGGGGAAATGTGAATTACAGCCATTAGGTGGTACTTGAAATATAGAAAAAAGGAAAAAGTTATGTGCTTTCCCCATCTTTACTCAGGTTTGGGGATAGGTGTTTAAGACATGACTTCAGAATTGGCCTGGCACTGGCCCACTATAAAATAAATAGCTTCTATTTTGTTCTTGAGAAAAAGAAATTGTGAACATACATTAAGTGAAAATAGAACAACAAAAAGTGCTCTGTTTTCCCTTGTGGGAGAAAATATTAGACAATGGTATTATTGAGTTCAACTAATAGTTTTCAATGAGTGAAAATCCAGCGGTGACATAGCTAATCCCCGTTCCCCACAGGTGTTCAAATGCTGTGTGTGTGTGTGTGTGTGTGTGTGTGCCTGGCTTCTGATGTGTCTGGTAGACCGGGAGATGTTGACCAGTTTCACTTTGCTTGCCTCGACCCTGGCTTCCTGTGATCATTGCTTTCTGTGGTTGTTGATGGATTGATATTGTAAATGAAGCAGTAACTGCAATGATCTTTAATGTCCTTGCTGAAAAATTCTCCCTTCTAGTTATAGCTAAAAGACACAAAATAAGTGGAACATTAGAGAGGTTTTGATCCATAACTTACTACAGTTGCTGTGGAGTTGCCTCTAATAGGATGCTTTTTTTCCTTGTCTTTCCTGTCTTTTTTTTAAATCGTTTTATTAGGGGCTCATACAACTCTATCACAATCCATACATACATCAATTGTGTGAAGCACATTTGTACATTCATTGCCCTCATCATTCTCAAAGCATTTGCTCTCCACTTAAGCCCCTAGTATCAGCTCCTCATTTTTTCTCCTCCCTCCCCTCTCCCACTTCCCTCAGGAACCCTTGATAATTTATAAATTATTACTTTGTCATATCTTACACTGTCTGACATCTCCCTTCACCCACTTTTCTGTTGTCCGTCCCCCAGGGAGGAGGTCACATGTAGATCCTTGTAATTGGTTCCCACTTTGCAACCCACCCTCCCAGTATCGCCACTCGCACCACTGGTCCTGAAGGGATCATCTACCCTGGATTCCCTGTGTTTCCAGTTCCTATCTGTACCAGTGTACAGCCTCTGGTCTAGCCAGATTTGTAAGGTAGAATTGGGATCATGATAGTGGGGGGTGGGGGTGGGAGAAGCATTTAGGAACAGGGGAAAGTTGTATGTTTCATTGTTGGTACATTGCACCCTGACTGGCTTGTCTCCTCCCCGTGACCCTTCTGTAAGGGGATGTCCAAGTGCCTACAGATGGGCTTTGGGTTGCCACTCCGCACTCCACCTCATTCACAATGCTATGATTTTTTGTTCTGATGATGGCTGATACCTGACCCCTTCGACACCTCGTGATCGCACAGGCTGGTGTGCTTCTTCCATGTGGGCTTTGTTGCTTCTGAGCTAGATGGCTGCATTTTTACCTTCAAGGCTTTAAGACCCCAGACGCTATATCTTTTGATAGCTGGGCACCATCAGTTTTCTTCACCACATTTGCTTATTCACCCGTGTTGTCTTCAGTGATTGTGTCAGGAAGGTGAGTATCGTAGAAAGCCAGTTTAATAGAACAAAGTATTCTTGCATTGAGGGAGCGTAGGATGCTTTTCATGAACTATTTTTTTTTTTGTCACATTATCCTTTGTCCTCTGTTTCACTTGAGGTTTCCTGTATCTCTTCTCTTGACTTTTGCTACAGTGGTCTTTGTTATTTCCTTCTGCCAACAACAGGTGCGAAGTTGAAGACAGATCCTTTTCTGTGGTTATAACTCGATCTCAGTGGCAGCCGTGCTATCCTGAGGAGGGCAGAGAATAAAGAAAGGCATGTAAACTTTTGGGGGATTTGAGTCTGGGTTTGTTGACTGGCTACAGGCAGGTTGTGTTTGTCTGGGTGACTGAGATGGGGAGGGCAGCAGACTAGGGCAGGTGGTGGTGAGGGTTGGAGATGATGCTGGTGATATGCTCATGACAGACTGACGCGTAGCAGGGGCCCAAATGCCCTTGTCTACCCCTTCCTCACCGTAAGATTCCCCTTCAACTTCCTGAAGGAAAGTCCAGAATTAGAGTTTTAAGCCTTCTGCCAGGAGCATCAAAAATTCCATTTCTTTAAAATGAAAATAATTGGTTCTCTATATCTTACTATATAATGATGTCTAACTGTGTGTATGTGCATGCGTGCATGGGTGCATGCATGCATGCTACAGGGCTTCAATAAGTTTGTGGAAAAATTCTTATTTTTTAATTCTATATTTTTAAGAAATTTTAGAAGCCTTCTTGTTTTGTGCACATGTGTGTATGATTCCAGAGGGACACACACACACACACTGTTTGAGGGGAGTGTCAGGAACAGGATCTGACTACCTCTGATTTCATAAGGGGGCGGCCCATCAAACCCTACATCAGCCCAAGGTCCATTCTTGTGAGGCAATGGTCAGGCATGGCTTCACCCTCAATGTTGTTGACCAATTCTGATGTCGATTGGCTCTCAGTTCGTGTCTACTTATGTGATGTCATAGCTCTCTATCTCTGGATCAAGGAGGTTCATTGCAGAGGATCTCAGAGTCCGCAGGCTGGGCTGCACTCCTAGCTCTTTCTTGAGGGTAGTGAGATTCCCCTGTTCCTGATTCTGAGATAGCTCATTTTATACCCAGGAGTATGGCAAGATTGACTTATACCCACATTAGAGCTACAAGCTTTATAATTATCATTAATAGTCACTCACAATTGAATTATACCAGCATCTTTACCTACCCAGACCCATCAGGAAAAGAGGAAATATAAGTACTTTGCAGGATCTCACCTAGTTATTTTAGGAGCATTTGTGGTGTAGGGTGGTACATGTTAGGTTGCTAATCACAAGGTCAGCAGTTCAAAACTGCCAGCCATCTCCATGGGAGAAAGATGAGGCTTTCTACTCCCCAAAGGGTTATACTTTTAGAAAACCCACAGGAGCAGTTCCATTTTGTCCTATCAGGTTGCTATGCATTGGAATTGACTGGATGGCAGCGAGTTTTTGGACTGTCATTTGGTGGGACTTACGAAGACGCTGGCTAGAGCGCCGTGTCCGGTAAAGCACTGTGCCACAGAGGTCTTCCGATGTATGAGAGCTTCTTTGGTCTCAGAAGGCCTTTTAAACAAAGTTTGGGATATATTGCTCATATATATGTAATTTTTATATGTGCCAATAACACTTTACTTATGAACACCGAAATCTGAATTCCACATAAATATTCTTTTGATATGTTTTGAACTAGAAGAACATAAGATGTTTATTTTACAATTTTTTCAATGAACAGAATTTTGCTTTGGGAAGAGTTTTACACTTGTGAAAAAATGGATAGAAATAAGTTTTTGTACTACCCCCTCCTTTTGCAATTTCTTCTACTGTTAATATTTTATATTATTATAGTATATTTATTACTATTAATGTACCAATATGTATTCATCATTGTTAATTGAAGCCTGCACTTTATTCACACTTCTTTAAGCTTCATATAATGTCCTTTACTACATTCTAGGATCCTCTTATCCTACTGACAATGTGTGTGTATTATATACCCACACATTTGTATCTTCATCTGTTTCTTTTTTGTGTCTTATAGGTATACAATATGTTTCAGCACCAGAGTCTTGGAATTAAAGTTAACATTCAAGTTAGCAAGCTTGTCCTGCTGCAGCAGCGTCCTGTAAGTCCCTTGAAGTCTCTTTCAGAGCTCTTAGAAAAATGGCCTCTTCTTTAAGCTCCCTGGTTTTCATTAAGTGCTGAGCAGGAGTCCAGGCGGTTGTCTGTCTCATTCTCCTGCCTTGGCTTTGCAGGATATGACAGTGTGCCCTGGGTCAGTGGCCATGGGTGTTGGGGGTGAGACCAGGGTAGGCACTGTTACTAAAATATGGTTTGTGCTTGTCTACTCCTAGGGGAACCCTTAGGAATAAATCCATTCACATTTCTCTTTCATGGTGGTATGTCTCACACTGGGCTCCCAGCTAAGTGGGCAGGCTTGGTGATTAGGACCTTGGATCCATTGCAACCCCCACCCCCAACTTCCCAGGGCTGTACCTAAATGGGGCTTCATAGTACTATTGTGTGGTCCTCAACTGAGCGCTTTCCCTCATGATAGCATTACCTACAGAGTCAAGCAAAGACATGAGATTGAAGAACCACTGCTTGGTTTTGTACACTACAATGTCTGAAATAGAGAAAATGGTGTTCTAGAATCTAGTCTCCCCCTGAATCATGGCCCTTGGTGGTTTGTCTGCCCATGGTGTCTGTTGCATAATCAGTAGAACTAGGCCTGTTTTGTTTTCAACTTGGGACAGCGGGACATTGTAAGATGTCTCCGGAAGGAGCTCTCTCAAATTTAACTCCATTGTAGTTTGGATGTAAACGCTACCTTCGGTGTGGGTTTGCTTCTCTGACTGCCTTTGATTTCTCTTAGGCCAAATTGTCCATTGGGCACCATGGTGAGCGGTCCCTGGAGAGCTTCTGTCGCTGGCAGAATGAGGAATACGGAGGAGCACTGTACCTGGGTAGCAACCATGTTCCAGGTGGGAAGGATGATACACCCCCTGTGGATGCAGCTGTCTTTGTGACCAGGTAAAGCTGAATTCAGACCCTAGCAGACGTGGAGAGGAGGAAATACAGAAGGATGGATTGAGAATTCAGGCTTAGAAATTAGACCTTGAGCTTCAGTTTTCTGAGCATCAGTTTTCACATCAATATAATGGGACCAGATGATAGTACCTCCCTCCAAGGTATGAGGATTAAATTTGAGAGGTTGGAGACGGAGGCGCGGGACAGAGATAGAGCTTAGCTGGGAATGTGAAGTTGAGAAAGATTTCACTGAGGCAGGGAAAGAACTCCCAGGAGGGAAGGGAGAGAAGAGAAAGGGGAGGGGGCATCTTGAGTGTCCGGGCGGTTTCGAGACCCAATGAGTTAGGTCAGGGAAGTCACGCCTGGCGGTGAGGCAGTGGGACAAGTACAGGCCTTGAGCCAAGGACGTATGTACTATTAAGAGGAAGTAGGCCTTCTGGTGCTGCAGTGGCAGGGTCTGAATCACGATGGGTCTGTGAGTAAATCATCCTGGAACACTGAGGGAAGGGGCTGTACAGACCCGGGCCGGAGAGATAAGCTCCTTGGAATGCTGGAGGCAGGGACTGCACGGTCCAGCTGTGGCCTTGAGAGGCAGGGGTTGAGGGGCATGGGGGTGGGGAGGGGCGGCACAGTCCAGCAGGAGATTTTTCGGGAGAGCTGGGGGAAGTGCCTGCATGGTCCAGCCCTGGCCCCAACAAAATTCAAAATACCTGGTAGGAAGTAAGGGCACAATAGGCATCAGTCAATATTATTGCTATTATTGTTCATAACATTATAAGTATGCTGAAATCCTGGGTGATCTAGAGTCTTACAACTTAGAAGAAAATTAATTATTGACACTCCCCCTCCTTCCATCAAATAAAACTTCCAGTAGGAAAGAGCTAACCTGTGTTTGAAGTTGTTTCCAAACTGTCTCAGGCCCACCATTCTGAAGAGTGGTGATTCCACAAGCGTCCTGCAGAAGCAAGTCCATATTCAGTGCTATGCCTGGCTTCACTTAACTAACTGTCCATTGGCCTCTCTGTTACCGGTAGTCATTGAGTCAGTGTTGACTTGTGAAAATTGCATATTGTCTGAGTACAACTATACTCCATATGGCTGCTTTTTCAGAAATAGATTACTAGACCTTTCTTTTGAGGCACATCTGGGTGGACTTTCAATTAACAGCCGAGTGAATTAACTGTGTATACCACGCAGAGACTCCATCCTCCATTTAGGGACAACAGAAGTGGGCAAAGATGCAAGCTTCTTCAGAGCTAGGCAATCGGGGTTCTGCTGGGACAACTGGAACTAAGGATCACATCCTTTATGGGCAGCAGCAACAAGGGAATATTTTGTTTCTTTCCTACATCTCAAACTTCAATGAGATTAAACTGACTTTCTATGGTTGTTCTCCTTCAGCAACACAAGTTAAATGTATTCAGGTTCACACCAAAAATTCCCTTAGAAGTATGCAGACAAAGGAACTTAATCCACAAGGTTAAAATGATCAAAATTACATTGTAGTTGTTAGCAATATGTGAGCTTTAGTTTTTAATTTAAGAAGACCACTTCCTAAATTATAGTCTTTCTTTCCCTTTTGCTCCTAACCACCTTAGCTTAACAGACCATACACATTGCAATTACAGACTCCTAGTCATTCTTGTAAATGCCTCATCAGTTGCCAAAAAAGGGGTTAAAAAGTGCTTTTGTAGCTTAGGGATTCCTTCTGAAATATTTGCTGCTTTTCTAAGATGTGACTAAAAGTAGGTTGAGTATTTCTAGAAAGCACTAATCTGTAATTCTCATTATCTACCATATGGCTGCTGTGTTACAGGCTTCCAAGGACCAAGGAATAAACATGTTCTGGCTCCTGCTTGCCCACAGAGGGTACTAGGGACCTCCAGTTATCTTACCACCACCCCCTCCCCCTAGAGCACAGAAGCTGCCCTCACTTAAGGAACTTAGAAATTGTGTTTGGGGCCTGTGTAGTTTTCTTTCATGCACCTTGAGGTTTGTTGTATTAAGTTTAAGGGTACCAACTTTTGAGGGTGGATTTAATTTGAGGAAGCAAACAGGAGTCTGAGGGAACCAAGTCCATGTGTGATTGTAGGTGGTTTCTGACTTAAGATGTACTCAAATTGTGCCCAATCTGACCCCACCACTGGGCCAAAATGCTAAGGGCATGCCACAGAGCAGCAAGGGGAGCAAAGCAATGCAGTCTTCAGGGAATACCAAAAATAGACTTTGGGGCCAGGGCATGGCACCCCATCAGACTAGACCAGAAAACACCCCTGAAGGTCAACAAACAGACCTGGAAGTATTTATAGGCTTTTCTTTTTGTTGTCATTGGTTTTTGTTTGTTTTCTTTTGTGGTTTTGTTTTGCTCTGTCTTGTTTTTGTGCTTATTATTGTCTCTGCATGTCTATCTAGATAAGATAGGCAGGATAAACATTATGGAGGAGAAAACAATGGGACCTATAGTTCTGGGAGGGGGGGTATGGGAGAGGGGGAGGCGTGGGAAAGGAAGTAGGTGTTAAAAAATCCAGGGACAAGAGAAAACAAATGATCTAAAATCAATGGTGAGGAGGGCACAGGATGCCTGGTGAGTCTTGGTCAAGGGCAATGAAGCCGAAGGGAATTACTGAAACACAAATGAAGGCTGAACATGATAGTGGGACAAGAGGAAAGTAAAAGGAAATAGAAGAAAGAGTGAGGAGTCAAAGAGCATTTATAGAAGTCTAAATACAGGCATGTATTTATGAAAATATATTTATATATAAAGATAGGGAAATAGATCTAAGTACATATATTTATATGTTAAGTGTTAAGGTAGCAGACATGTTGGGCCTCTACTCAAGTATTTCCTCAATGCAAGAACTGTTTGTTCTAATAACCTGGCATTCTGTGATGCTCACCTTCCCAGTACAATCGCTGCAGACAAAATAGGTGCATAAGCAAATGTGAGGAAAGCTGACTGTGCTTGGCTATCAAAAGATCTAGTGTTTGGGGTCTTAAAGGCTTGAACATAAACAAGCAGCCATCTAGCTGAGAAGCAACTAAGTATACATGGAAGAAGCACACCAGTCTGTGTGATCATGAGGTGTCGACAGGATCGGGTATCAGGCATCAAAGACCCAGAGCAAAAAATCATATCAATGTGAATGAGGGGGAGTGTGGAGTGGAGACCCAAAGCCCATTTGTAGACAATTGGACATTCCCTGACATTAGCTTCCCAAGGAAGAGATGAGCCAGTCAGGGTGCAGTATAGCACCAATGAAACATACAACTTTTCTCAAGGTGATCAGAGATGATCTCTCTGTCCCTCTGCTGCCCTGTCTGCTGGAACTCTGCCTGCCTCAAAAGGTGGTCCCATGTTGGCAACCTTATGCTTAGAGCTGCTGACACCCTGCTATGTCTCCATGGACTTTGGACGCATGCGACTATGCACCCACAGGCGTATGGCGACAAGCGTCTGAAGAGGGACTTAAGGACTACCACCAGACTTAGGAACTTGAGTTAGACTGGGCTGGGGTACTTTCTTGATATCATTACTTCTAAAGTGTCCCTGGATTTGTTTCTCTAGACACCGTAGCCTAACACAAATGCTAACTTTAGATCTTGATATTGCACATTGGTCATAAAGCTGGAGAACTGACAGATCAGGTTAGGTTTACTTTTCTTTTAATGGGTTTTGAAGAGAAAAGAAATGCTGAAAAAAGAAAGAATGAGGAAGAGGAAGGAAAGAAGTTGTCAAAACTCTTTTTATAGTGAACTGAGTAGCTGAAGTTGTTGTTTTCAAAACAACACCAGGGGTTTCAGTTGCTTAAAAGCATGGACCCCAATGTGGATAGCTTTGCTAAATTGATAGACAGTTTGGGGAAGCAGTAAGATGTGATGAAGGGAATTTTTTTTTAAACATTTTATTAGGGGCTCATACAACTGTTATCGCAATCCATACACACATCAATTGTGTAAAGCGCATTTGTACATCATTCTCAAAACATTTCCTCTCCACTTAAACCCCCAACATTAGGTCCTCATTTTCCCCCTCCCTCCCCGCTCCCCTCTCCCTCTTGAGCCCTTGATAGTTTATAAATTGGTATTTTGTCATATCTTGCCCTGTCCAACGTCTCCCTTCACCCACTTTTCGGTCATCTGTCCCCCAGGGAGGAGGTCACATATAGTTCCTTGTAATCGGTTCCCTCTTTCCTACCCATTCTCCCTTTACCCTCCCTGTTTCGTCACTCACACCACTGGTCCTGTAGGGCTCATCCGCCCTGGATTCCCTGTATTTTCAGTTCCTATCTGTACCAGTGTACATCCTCTGGTCTAGCCAGACTTGCAAGATCGAATTCGAGTCATGGTAGTGGGAGCGGGGAGGAAACATTTAGGAACTAGAGGAAAGTTGTATTTCTCGTCATTGTTACATCGCACCCTGACTGGCTCATCTCCTCCCCGAGACCCCCCTGCAAGGGAATCTCCAGTGGCCTACTAATGGGCTTTGGATCTCCACTCCGCACTCCCCACATCATTCACTATGGTAAGATTTTTGGTTCTGATGATGCCTTATACCTGATCCCTTCAACACCTCGTGGTTGGATAGGCTGGTGTGCTTCTTCCATGTGGGCTTTATGAAGGGAGAAAGGAAAAAGAAAAGAATCCTACAGAAAACTCTCACAGATTTTCTGAATAGCAATGTCATCGCCATTCCCAAGGATAATCCCCATTGCTTCAGAATCTTCCAATAAAGGAGTTATGAATACAGCTGGCAAAATGCTTCTTCAATGTCAGATTACATTTTTATACCATATATATCGCTTAAGTTTTCATATTCTGTGTCTATCCCCCGAAAACCAATAAAGTCCGGATCTATAGAACCCAAGGGGGAAATATGCCTGGTTCTATGGTCGTAATTAGACACTTTTGACCTAGTTTCTACCCACACCTTGGCAACCTAGTCCATGTGATAGAGACTACTGGGACTTAAGGCCTTTTCTTTGAGGGATACAATATCCGTCATA